ACGGTGACATTTGTTGTGACATTTGTTTACTGTTTTTAAAATTTGTTTTTTTTTTGTCTTTTAATGTTGTTTTGTGTCTGTACTTGTCCTGTGCACACGGGGAACTTTTACAAATATATTCCAATGTGGTGTATACATACTGCAAATGGCGAATAAAATGAATCTGAATCTGAATCTGATTATATCTATTATTATGTTTTCAGAATGATACATTTTATTTTTATTTTTGCTGCTACTGGACACCTGAATTTCTCCTACGGGGATCAATAAAGTATCTATCTATGTAATAATAATAATAATAATAATCTTTATTTGTATAGAGCTTTATAGCGGACCCGAGCTTAGAGAGAGATAACTGCCCGAGGATGAGAACATACATTTTATTTATTTATATATATACAGTACCATCTATCCATCCATCCATTTTCTTCTGCTTCATCCGTTGCCGGGTCGCGGGGGCAGCAGTCTAAGCAGAGACGCCCAGACTTCCCTATCCACACACACTTCCTCCAGCTCGTCCGGGGGGAACCCAAGGCGTTCCCAGGCCAGCTGAGAGACATAGTCCCTCCAGCGTGTCCTAGGTCTTCCCCGGGGCTTCACTGTATAGATATTTTGTATAGTCCTGAATCAAAACAGCAATCTTCTTGGAGGTCGAACGGATCAGAGAATCAGAAGAAATGCAGTAATAACAAACACACACAAGCCATTATTCGTTAGGGAGCGGGGTGACCACTGTCCATAAATGTTTATGTAATGTGCATAAATCTCCTTTAATGTCCTGGATCATCACTGTCCTTAGATTCTCCTGAATCAGCAAAGAACCACTCAAAAACAAACCTCGGGTGTACAGTGTAGGCCCAGGACTCAGGCTGTAGATGAGGAGTTTTTATATACACACTTGTAGACATACAGTATGTGCACATATGACTTTTATAGTGACCTTCCTGAGCAGGCAGAATACTTGTGCCAGGCCAGTTTGCAGTGATTATGTTTATTTTTTTTGCATTGGTGTACGTCTTATTATCAGTTCTACTGTTGTGTTTCTTTTAATAACTGCTATCAAACAGTTGTGATTGCGGCGCTTTATTTAAATGGCTCCATTCATACTCAGACAAACCAACACAATGGCGCAGTAATTGTTGTTTTTGTTCACTTTTTCCTCTATGAAAACAAGTAATGAATTTATTTGCATCATTTAAAGGGATGGATTTATTGTCCTCTGTCAGGGAACACGCCGTGCTGCTACAGGCGCTTTACAAGATAAACAATTGATGCCCTTGTTGCAACACATGTGCAGTCATCTGTGGAAATCTTCCGTTTGCTTTTACTTCTTCTATTGTGCTTTTGATCTGAGATTAAAAACACATCGACTAAAACAAAGAGTGCTCTTAATAATGTGTGATCTCATGTTGGCCCTCAAACACAATCTCGAGAAGATTAACTTTGCAGTGAAATACTTTATTTACGAGTGGTACATGAGGTGAATAAACACATCTAGTGGTAGAATGGGGACATTGCACTGTGCTGGATTTAGATCCAAATCAAACACGACATGATTGAAACACGAAACACGACAAACACTAATGATTGAAAGCATGCGGTTTTAAATCATGTAATTTGAATTGAAACAATTCTCAATCAGAAATGGAGACAATACACGTGTTTTAACCCTTGTGCTATCCACGGGGCAAAGTCATTAAAAAAAAACCTAAATATTTATAATTTTTTTCTAGCTTAATTTAGATGATTTTGGCGTGTCATTTTGTCAGGATAGCAAAAATCTGACAGTGCATCTAAGTGTAACAAGTTTGAGTATAACAAACAACTACACAACTTGCTACCAGTGTTGTGCCAGTTCACAGCTTTTCTGAACTAGTTCAAGTTCAGTTCATACATGCTCAAAGTGAACAGTTCACGTTCAAAGTTCACATTTTTAATTCTGAACTAGTTCAAAGTTCAGTTCATTTTACTTTTTTGGTGAAATAGTCAAATAAATGTATTTTTTTTCACACTATGAGCTATATATATATATATATATCCTGTACACCCACAGGAGGAGAGCCTTTTGACTACAAAACAGACTAGATTTACATGGTTTTCAATGGGAGCCAAACGGAGTTGCTCCATCTCTGCTCATAAACTACAGACAGTAATGCGATGCAGTGCGTGTGTCTATACTTTATGTCAAATGTAAACGTGTAAACTTTGTCGCTAACTCACCCTGTGTTTTCATCACGACTCGGGCGCATGTGAAAAGCAGCAGCTCACAGCGCCTCACCGCAACACGGAGTCGGGGTGCGTTCACAGACGGTGGAAACAGTGGGAATTTTTAGTTTTCGGCGGAAAAAGTGCGAGAATACAGGAGGGAGGAACTTTCTCTTGTTGCGTTTCAAAAGAGAAAACAGATTCCAACGTTCATAGTGATGTCTGCCGTTCATGACACATAAAATGAACTAATTCACGTTCAAGTTCTTTTTTTAAAATGTGTTGCGTTCAGTTCAACGTTCACGGAAAAATGAACGTGTTCAATGAACGCGTTCTTTTGAACTCGTTCACGCACAACACTGTTTGCTACAAATGGTAAAGCCTGTACCTGTGGGAGTCGTTGTATGGCTCTTGGATCATTGAAGATGGCTGGACCCATATCCACTTAACCCTGACAAAATGATATTAGCGTGGGGACAAGGCTAAAAGCGGTTGGAGGTTCCTAAAAATTCTAGTAAATGTTATTGCCTGGAAAAGCATAGAAAACACACAACATGATAAATAAATGGATTTCAGACAATACGTTTTTGGAAAATGTATGTCTTTCTCCAAGTCCAAAATAGACATTAAACAAGCTGTACGCTATATGACTTCATTGCCTTTGGGATCTGCCATATAATGCTCCCTGGAAAGGTCAGTCGCATGTGAAGAAGCTTTCGGGAGGTTATAAACCAGGAGGGCGGGGCACATGGCTCCTTTATGTACATGAGACTCAGACTAGTGATGTATTACAGGAGACATGTGGAGCTAAATCAGTCTGTTTGCGCATTTAATCCTTTTACAAAATGCTTTTAGATCTATCCAGGCTAATTTTAGTAACTTCTGGCACAAACATGTAACTCCGCCTCCCTTCAAAGATCCTATCTAAAACAATGCTATGATTAAATTGTAACACTATGATATCACATAAAAGTAAAATGTCTCATTATCATTTTTATCGGCCAAAAATAATGTATTAGGATTTTTCTTTTTAAATGGCAGCAGCTGGCCTTAAAAGCCTACATATTTATCATTTTCTGGCTCTCTGAGGCACAATACAAAAAAAAAAACGAATGTCAGGTAATAAATCAGACCTCTGAAGCTAAACAGGGCCTGGTTTGTCCTTTGAATGGAGACCTCTGGGAGGGGTCGGAGGGGGTCCGGTTTGGAGACCACAAGATTTCATCCCTACTGTTTGCGGACGATGTTGTCCTGTTGGCTCCAACGAACCAGGACCTGCAACATGCTCTGGGACGGTTTTCAGCCGAGTGTGAAGCTGCTGGGATGAGAATCAGCACCTCCAAATCCGAGGCCATGGTGCTCGACCGGAAAAAGGCGCCTTGACCTCTCCCGGTGGGTGGAGAGGTCCTTCCTCAAGTGGAGGAGTTCAAGTATCTCGGGGTCTTGTTCACAAGGGAGGGAAGGATGGAGTGTGAGATTGGCAGGCGGATCGGTGCAGCGTGCACAGTGATGCGGTCGCTGTATCGGGCCGTTGTGGTAAAGAGGGAGCTGAGCCGAAAGGCGAAGCTCTCGATTTACCGGTCAATCTTCGTTCCCTCCCTCACCTATGGTCATGAGCTTTGGGTAATGACCGAAAGAACGAGATCGCGGATACAAGCGGTCGAAATGAGCTTCCTCCGCAGAGTGGCTGGGCGCTCCCTTAGAGATAGGGTGAGGAGCTCAGTCACACGGGAGGAGCTCGGAGTAGAGCCGCTGGTTCTTCACGTCGAGAGGAACCAGTTGAGGTGACTCGGGCATCTGTTCAGGATACATCCCGGACGCCTCCCTGGGGAGGTGTTCCGGGCACGTCCCACCGGGAGGAGGCCCCGGGGAAGACCCGGGACACACTGGAGGGACTATGTCTCTCAGCTGGCCTGGGAACGCCTTGGGGTCCCCCCGGATGAGCTGGAGGAAGTGTGTGTGGATAGGGAAGTCTGGGCGTCTCTACTTAGACTGCTGCCCCCGCGACCCGGCAACGGATGAAGCGGAAGAAAATGGATGGATGGATGGATGGACCAGTGCCAAACTGCCATTGTGTATTTAGGCAAGGCACTTGACCCATATTAGAATGAGTCTGATGTGTGTTGGTGGTTAGAGGGATCGATAGCACCTACTGGTGGGGCGGCTGCGGCTGCGACTGTAGATTGCCAAACTGCCATTGTGTATTTAGGCAAGACACTTTTCCCACATTAGAATGAGTCTGATGTGTGTATGAATGCTTGGTGGTAGAGGTCGATAGCACCTACTGGGTGCTTCGCTTCTGTCAGTGTGTCCTATGTCAGCTGTGACTACAAAAAGGAGTATCTAAAAAGCGCATTATAAAACTTATGGATAATTATTATTAAGAAGTCTATCTTATGAAAAGAATAACTCAAGTTTAGTAGACATACAGCCACTTGCAGACCATTCCCCAATTGTAATATGTTTTAGATTGAAATGGATGAATAGAAGAAAGATAAGTTTATACCCGACTGTGAAATATTGCAACACTCCCTGCATCAGAAAACCTTAAGTATACACCATTAGACTCACAACTTGAATCATTTGAATACAGCATGGTACTTGTCTGATTTCATTTGGTACTAGTCTAATCTCATTTGATATTTTTGTCTAAGAATGTTTGGTTGCAATGGGCCGTCATATTGATCTTTATAAAACTATGAGACTTGGACTTTTGTGGGTCCAGAGACTTGTGCTCGACTTGGACATCCTGGGCAGAGACTTGGACTTATGTGCATCTCTGCCTCCCTTCTCAGGTACATAAAAATTGGTGACAAAGAGTGTGAGTTCAGCCCAAATTTCCGGCTCATTCTGCACACCAAACTGGCCAGTCCGCACTACCAGCCCGAGCTGCAGGCCCAGTGCACCCTCATCAACTTCACTGTGACACGGGACGGGCTGGAGGAGCAGCTGCTGGCCTCTGTGGTCAGCATGGAGCGGCCCGATCTGGAGCAACTCAAGGTACTGCACATCCAGCACCAAGTATTCAGGGACATGTTTATGTTGGTGTATTTGACTTCCTCACTGTTGATCATTGTACTCTGCAGTTGACCGCCGTGTCTGTTTATGTAGCCGGTTCGGAGCTAGTCTTCATGTTGGTTCTTAAACATCAACATGAGAACATTTGTTTTCACATTTCAGAATGCTAAATCCTTTGTTGAGTAAACTTTTGGGCCAGGACTTTATTTAATCTAATTAGTTAGAAATTAATCTAATTAAATAAAGGCTTAGTAATTTATAAATATAAAATTTAATAACATTTAAATCACATGAATATCTGACTTGAGGACAGTGAGAAGAATTTTTTGACCTGTCACAGTGATTAAAACAATACCCTAATATGATTTTTCCTGATTTGATCAGCCCTCAGTCATTTAGACCCTTTTTTGACATTTAGACAAATTTAGGTATTTTACCTCTACTTTTATTCGTCTGTGGCAGGTAATTATGACCCTGGTTATGACTAACGACTCACCCGGCCGCATTACATATGTGACGGTAAACTCAGATCCAATCGTTTCAATCTGCAAAAGGAGTTAACCCCTCCCACCTGTAAACGGAGCACAATGGAGCACCTCCAGACCATACGAAATGTAATTTGTACTATAGTGTGGTACGACCAGGCTACTTCTGTCCCTTATGGACCAATGACTATTTGTTTTCTATCATTACATTTCCGTTTGATTCTCTGGTCTGTGTTGGCAAATCGTCGACTTTGTAAAGTCCTCGGAGATAACTACTGTTGTGAGTTAGGGCTATTGAATTGAATTGAATCACTAAATTCTCGACAATCAGCCATTTTCCTTTTCTAAGATTCTCCCTTCATAGCTCTCATGTTGTCAGTCGGATGTTGGTAAAAAGCTCTGATCAAAACACTGCATGAGTTCTCTTAAACCTTCAAAGAGCCGTGCGGCGTTTGATTGACATGCATCACACGCCGTGCCGCTGCTTTGTGTGCTGCTGCGTGCTGAGCTGGACGAACCCTGCTAACTCCAGGTCCTGCAAGCTTATAACTAAACTTGTGGTCGCCAATATTTTTTAAAAAGACTGAGCCGGCAGAATATTAGTTTAAAAAAACACCTTGGTGTGTCCTGTGCCTGTGATTTTGTGTAGTACAAAAATACATGGATTTGATTCAGTCACTTCTTTTATCTGTGATGTAGAGGCGATTTTTTTTGAGTGACCAATAGCAGTTGCGGTATGATTATAAATTAGTAGTAGTATAATTATTTATCTCTGCCTGTTTATGTCTGTGGCGCCGTGGTTGGCACTTATGTTTAAAGAAAGTGTTTCTGCGGGGTTCGATTCCACCTCGGGACAGGGCCTCTCTGTGTGAAGTTTGCATGTTCTCCCTGTGTCTGCATAGGTCTGACTGTGGGATAATGGATGCAAACTAGCAGATTAACAGATTGGATTGTTTTGACCAGAGCTCTAACATGGAAGCTCACGGCTAAGGCGAGCATGCTAAAGAGAGCTAATGTGTGGTCATTAACGGATGTGGCTGTTGTTGTTTGTGCTTTGTGTAGGAATTAGGACCTATCGCTTCTGTTGCTAAATAGTGAGTGTCCAAATGTCGGCTTCCAAAGATTCAACTTGCGCTTCAAGTGTGGCTTATATGTACTTTTTTTTCAAGTTTAGCTGTTGGGGTTACACTAGACTAAGATATACATCGATTTCAAAATTAGTTTAGTTTAGTCTTTAACTGAAAGTGACAGAGCACAGCCACAGGAAGCGCAAAAACAGATATGTTCTGTGTCAGATTATAGCTGGTTTAGTGTTAGTGTTAATATTTAATTCATATTCAAATTGTAATAAATGCTTATAATCTCCCTGGGTGTAAAAATATACATGTGCGGCAAACAGAGCAAGAACACGAAAAAGCTCAAAAACAGCCAAAACAGGAGCTAAACCAGGACTATACCAGGATTACACCAGGACTGACAATGGGGGACACAGTGCTTGTAAACATATGCCTCGAGAGTTCTCATTCTTCCACGACTGAAAACAAGTGCTGCTAACGTGTTCGCCGATGTGAAAGTATTGTTTAATAATAAAATAAACCCATGGCACAGCTCCGAGAACACATACTGCTGTTTTATGACTTCTCTGCAAGGTCCCTGGACACACAGACGCCGCAGAGCTGCATTTGTGGAGAAGAACTTTACACGATAAGCCTCTAGCTTAATCTTGTTAGCATCAAAGCCCATGCCAGTATAATATTCTAATATTAAGGGCTGTCTAATATTTGCTCGATTGTCAAATATTTTGTTAAATATTCAAATTTCATTTTTCCAGCCCTACTAACGATACATACATTTCATACTATAGTCCATAATAACATATTTAGATATAATGCATAAGTTAGTGTGGGACGCACATAGAGCCCACCCCAGTGTCCGTTTGAGCAGCGTTTTTTGCTCCAAAACCACTTTTTAAATAATCTAGTAGTTGCAATTGATCGGTTAACTTGTTACAGCCTTACTAGACACGTGACTGTAAAATGTCTTGTTTTCCGCTTGTGAGAATTTTACACATAATTAAAATGTTCTTCCGTACGCTGTTTATCTTTCAGCTCACCCTTAAGAATTTCCTGCCCGCTACATTAAGAGGCCACGCATGATTAACACTTTCTGAAATTGCCCAAATTAAAGCCAGCGGAGTGGCTGTGCGTCCCCAAAGCTGTGTCATTTCGTCTCAATATCAAAAAGTGCATTACCCCAGCGCTTTCAATTCATCCACGAAATTATCTCCCGCTAATTATCATAAGCTTTTGTAACAGCACACATTTTTGCCTGCCTTGTGAATGTGCCGAAAAGTTTAAAACAATCTGGAAAGCGCAATCATCCAGGACAATTAAATTCTGGGGAGGCGGTTTGTGCACGTCCAATCCATCAGCGGTTCAAATTGTATATAAATTGCTTGGACTGGTGCGTAGCTTTGAACTAGAGGGGTGGTAAAGCAGCTTTCTTATTGTAATTGATCCGTGTGTAGACAGTGTGGTGATTGGGTTGTCTCGCTTTGCAAAACGTGGTGATAGAGACGAGGGTACGGTGTTTCGCCATGACGCACGATCATGATGCTATCTGGGAATGGTCCGCAGGCATTCTCTCACACACACGCATCTGACTATAAACCAGCACTGAGGGCACGGCTGCTCTTTCACACACTATAATAAAAAATAAAAAAAACAATGTATGTTTTATATGCTCTCAAAATCACAAGGAGAATGGAAATTGACGAAAAATATGTTCTCAAGGACACATGTGTCAGTTTGGAGCTTTTAACCAGCTACAAATATTGTTGTAATAATAATAATGCATCAGTTTTATATAGCGCTTTTTTGGACACTCAAAGACGCTCCACATGTCATTATTCTTTCAGTCCATACACAGTGCTGATAAACTACTACTGTAGCCACAGCTGCCCTGGGGCACAACGTTCTCTCATCAAAAACAGACCTGGAGGTTTTTTAGGTTCATTCACACCAATCTCAGGAACTGTCAGAAACACATCTCCCCACCTCTTCTGTCCAAATCTTTTCAAACAGTTCTGACAGGGCTGGCTAACTGGTCAGAGAGCAGCTTGATGGAAAAAGCATTAATGGAGTGCTCCTAATGTTGGAATGAACACCTGCAGCCACACAACCCTGCATCTGCAGAGATCCAGTCCCTCTGTGAGCTATGCAGATTAATTCAAAGCGGTGTGAGTAGGTTATATCTCCTGTAGGGGGCAGTGTGGGTGATTGTGGAAGGTATGAGGCCTGTTTGAAGCATAAGATGAAGAAACACTGTTGGCTCTTGTGAGTTGGTTATTCAATGTAACATAGTTCATTTAGAGTTCAGTGGGTCTTCCTCCAGTTTTTAAGACCATCAAAAACCACCTGGAATCAACCCAACACAGTCCCCAAGGAGTTCCCACAACAATTGGCCTTGGGCCATGGGTTATGGGCATAGTTCTATAATAATAACTGGATAGAGTATTACTAGCTTATAGCTGTCCCACCCATGGGCACAGGGGACGCCCGTGGTACTGCAGACTAAATTCATGTAGGCTATCCAAAAAAGTCCCATAGAACTCAATGTAAACTAAAACAGCTCGACCGCAGCTGACAGAGAACCTATAGCTTTCATAAAGATCGTATTTTGTGGGGATTTTAGTGTCCCTTGTTATCCTGAACTTTTTTTCTTCTTAAATCCTTCGGTTTTCTTTAAATCCACACTTTACGACCACAAACTCTGCTGTTTTCCTTCCCGCTCTGACTCCGCTTTACAACTGCTCTGATCAGCAGCTCTCATTGGTCAGAGCGCGGCCGAGCCCCTCTGTGCACGTGCATGAGAGCCACACACCCGTAGTTGGCGCAACGCATCATGGGAAATAATCCACTGCGCAGAACCGGGAGGACCAGACGATACCCAAATATAGGCGAGTTCCCCTAATCTCCCTGTTCTTGTGAAGTCCCATGTGCTACTGAGCACAAGCCATTCATTTGAATACGGCGCCAACTTGGATCACCGGGGCTTTGCTATGGGCAAATTAAAATGAAAATAAAAATCAAATAAACGGAACATTTATTTTTATTGTGTAAAGCTTAGAACATCAAGACGAGAATGTAGAAGTAGAAGCTGGTACTGCTTTGGTGATAGACGTCTTTGTCAGAGGAGACGTGATGAAGATTTTCACATTGATCTTATTCTTAAAATGGCTCGTCCTTTGTCCTCCGAGACTTATTTCTTTTGAAATCCATTGTTTTTTACAAATCCATTTTTTTGGGCAACAAACTTGGCTCTCGGCTCACTCTAGCTCCTCTCTCATAACTCTCACATGTCTGATTGGTCAGAACGCTCCCATGTCTGATTGGTCAGAACACTCACATGTCTGATTGGTCAGAACGCTCTCATGTCTGATTGGTCAGAACGCTCTCATGTCTGATTGGTCAGAACGCTCACATGTCTGATTGGTCA